TCCGCAATCCATTGTCTATTTATAAATGTTGCACCAGCATCGCGAGCTTCGCGAAAAGCGATGCACTTAATCCGGTCAATCATTCTTTGTTGTTCAGTATCATAAGCACCAGCCATTTCGAATAACAAAAGTGTGATGATCTAACGAGAGGATGAATTTTGTTATCATAAAGTGGCAAATTTAAAATTGGTACCATTTTTCAAAGAATCGTGGCAAAATTATTAAAATTTTCATTTCGTGAAATTTCTCAAAATTTGATGACTGAAAATTTTCAAAAATTATACAGCAGTTAATGACGATGAAAATCTGAACAAATGCAAACATGTGAATTTTCATATTCAGTCTAGTTACCTGATAGGTCAAAGAATCAGAAATCAGAAATTTACTTTCGTAGATACTTACAGTCATAAAAGCAATAAAATCCAAAAATTTATATTGAGTAATACTATTTCTTATTTATTAGAAAATCAGAAATCAGAAATCTATTTCACGGAAGAATACAGCAGCAAAGTGCTTTGAACATGCTTCTTTCTGACAATCAAACAATAAGAATAACTGATTTCGATCAGTTCTTTAGTTAATTGCACAGTCAAGTATGTACTATATGCACAGTTATATATAGAGGCTTTGAAAAGGAATAACAAAAGAAAGTACTTTATGCCGATAAACATATGATTGATCATATGTTTAGCGGCATAAAGTACGTTCTTTTGTTTTTCCTGTTCAGAAATCATACGTTAAGGATCACAAAGTTCGTTCTTTTGTCCCATAAATGTTCTGACGAAAACTTTAAAAAACTGAACAGCTCAGTGTTGAAATTTTTTGTACATCTCGTAGAGCATACCAATGGAAAAATGAGAAGAAATCAAATTCGAAAAGTCTAAAAAGGTTTATGATAAATCGAAGAGGAAAAGTAAACGAAAAAGAAAATATTATGAATCGCTATATTGCTTGATCATATGAACTAATGCCAGTTGTTTTGCAGTTTTTCAGATGGAAAAGAACCGTGAAGAAAATTGTTGATTTTGGATAATTGTATGCTCGGAACGAATGCTTAAATTTTGATAAATATCCAAAAAGTTGTTCTGCAACTTCTGTATTGATGGACGCATAAATTCCATTATGACACGGATGGTCAGGTCTCATGATTGTTCTACACATCGATCTTGTATGGTTTTTTACGTGGAAGCGATCTACTGCCATACTTAGCGATGTCAAGCACTGTGTGAATTTAGTAGACCTCAAGTATTCAGTTCCAAAATGTTTATTGATGAACAGTTTCAGCGTGCATGCACAGTCATAGCACATCGCTGATGGTAGTTGACCAAGCCGCAATATTGTCAGAATGTGATGAAGGACTCGTCGCACTGTGTAAAGGAATAGAGTGAATATTAGGAAGAGAAAACTGAAAGTTAACTTAACTGCCCTCGGAGCATGGTTGCTCTGTGAATCCAACAATGACAGAACAATTTAAAAACGTTGCCAAAAACCCATACGAACTGATTTTTGACTTTTTGTTTGTGCCAGATCGAAATACATTACACAGTTTATCATCATATCCACCATCACTGTTAATATATTCTGACAAGGCCAATCTATCTAAATTTTCTTCATTTGTAGGAGTTATATGGCATGTTGTTGTTACTCCTTCGCGTCGGTGTGGTGACATTCGAGGCTGATGACAATGACAATATCTGTTGTCAATATTTCGACCTTTAAAGTATAGTATTCATCAAAATAAATGATTAAGTCTCATGATAATTAACCTTTTCTCAATGGAGAAAACAGACATCCTGTTTGAACCGGCCCCATTTCCGATATACTATGATCAAATACATCTTTATATTGACAGATCAAACGGTTTGCCTTCTGATGTCCATCAACTATAAATATTCTTGAGCATGTCTGAGGATCACATGTTCGAGTAAAACGTTGATGTTGAGTCCAGAAATAAACAAAATTCTTATACATTTCATCTTTAATTGAGAAAAAATAATCATTACATTCATCGATATCTCTTACAGCCATTGGAATACTAATAATTTTACTATTTGTTGTCATAAAAAAGAATTTAATAATGTTTATCAATAACCAATTCATTTGTAAATATTTTTCATTCAATGGATTTCTATTCAAGTATGCACTAGAAGATTAGCATAAAATGATTGGAAAATATTTTCTTACACTATATAATCGTTATTTAAACCAAATAAATCATGTTGTTTTTGTCGTTCATTTATGATTTCTATCTTAGAATTAAACGATTTCGTGTATCCTTCGAAAGACACAGTATTCTGCACCAACTGCTGATCGAAATCAATAAGAAAATTTTGATCGAATACCTGGTTTCCATTTAAAAACATAAACTGATCATTTTTTATCGAATCTGTCGTGACATATTTTTTACTACGTTGTATATAAAAGTTGGGATAAATTTCCACGTCACAATCTTTACAATAACACGTACAAATGACTATGTCCCAGAATATAGAAAAAATTGAATTCTCACAAATGTTTATTTAATCAAGGGAATTTGTTTTTTGGTCAGTATAATAATTGAAATGATCAGTAACAGAAATAATTCCAAAATGAGTTAAATTATTAAATAAGCAGTAAAAAAATGATTGAGCAGTAAAATTAATAATTGATCAGTAGTTTATTTAAACTATCAGTTATTAAGTAGTTAAAGCTGTATATTAATTAAAAGATCAGTATATCTAATTTTTTCACAGTCGAATATATGAAAGTGTCAGTATAAAAACTGAAATAGTATAAAATGAATAATTTCTCTTCTGCTTTCTCTCTTTCATAGTATGTAACATAACCAGGTGACAAATAGAAGAGAAAATTCCAACACACATATAAAAGAAAGAGAAAATCCATGATATGTACATGTGACAGGACAGGGAAAAAACCATCGTACATATATGTGATCGCGAAAGAAATCGATGACACATGATCAACAATAGGTGGCTGATGTGGAGTAATCCTTATGATAGTATCCGAAGGATATGCAGATCATAACAATTCGGTATTTGTTATTGATGACTGTGAAAGACTAAGGGAAAATATCCATCTTAAATCTATCTCTCGATATTTCCTTTGTATCTTGCTATATACATAGGGGTGTCAATAAGTTCTCGTAGTTTCATTAATTTTTTGATAGCCATACGATTTTCACGATTTGTTCACAGCAAATGTTCGAAGTAGTTCCCACCGTGCTCCAAACAAAGTTTCATCCGTTCAATCCATTTCTGAGATATCTTTCGATATTCATTAATGAATATCGTATTCAGCTCTTTGGTTACGGCTCGAGCGAGACTTTTACCGTCTGGATACATATCGAAAATTAGTTTCAGTCGATCAAAAAGTCAGAAATCTCATGGAATAAGGTCAGGCGAATACGGCGGATGGGTCATATCCTTGAGTTTTTTCTTTCGAAGATAGCCCAGAACGAGATTGTTGACATCAGGTCGAGAATTGTCGTGGTGAAGTTTGACGGCGTGAGTCGTCGACAAGGATCTTTTCTGACCTAGCTTCCGCACCAATTGTGTTAAGCATACATGTAACATATCCCATATTCATGCGATGTAATCAGTAGTAACGTGCGGATCGTCGGTGACTAGAAGTTTAACAGCACGAATATTCTTCGAGGTAACGACGGTTACAGAACGACCGCTCGGAGGGTCGGCTTCAAACGAGTCTCGTCCTCTTGCAAATCGACGAATCCAGTAAGCAACTGTGTTGAATGATACAGCATCAGGTCCGTTAGCGATGATTAACTTGCGGTGAATCTGCGTAGTCGTGAAGCCCAGTAAAGATCGAGTCTTGTTGAGCCACGAATATGCTCTTTCTCCATTTCGAAAATGGTGGTCTCGGAAAATCGACTGGGTGTTTTCTCTGACGAGCATGAGAGAACGTTCTTATTGACGGTTTTACGCACGACAGATGTCGGTGCCAGAACACATAAAATTCATGGGCAAGGTTGATAAGACCAAAAAACTAACGAACAACTACGAGAACTTATTGATACCCCTACGTATAAATACTTCATCGTTTTTTCAAGATCAGCAAAAACTGTTCCAATTGGAGAGAAGAGAAAGCGTGGCAGACCAGCCAAAGGTAAAGCTGCATTATTGATGCAATAATTGTATTAAAAAAATTTGTCAACAGGCTTATCAAACTGTCTATAATATTATTTACTTAAATAAATTCATTATTTCTACTGCTAAAATCTACTTTTCTACTGATAGAAATTCAATATTTTACTGATAACATTTCTATTTTTTACTGACAGGAGATTGAATTTTCTACTGACACTTTCAGCTAAAATACTGACCAGTTTAGAATTTATTACTGATAATTTCGATACTGATCATTTCAATAAATCTACCGATCATTTTCATTTTTTCTACTGACAGTTTCAATAATTATACAGACCACTTAAATGGTACCCTTTAATCAATACATACGTGCTTTATAAATTTTTGTCAAAGAAATTACTGTTTTTGGACGACGAGAAAATAACAAGTTCAAAGGTGTTGCACATTGAATACAATTAGTTGTATATGGTTTTAAATACAATTCGTAAACACCAACAGATTCCGTGACAAATGTTTTTTGATATTTTCTAATCATTTGTTCAATTGGAATATCTTTAAACATCTCATCGAACATAGGTTCTGTTGTTATGAATTCAAGCATTGTTTGTATTGTGTGGATTGGATACGATTTTTGAAAATGCATATTTACGATATTCATAATATGATGGGGTTTGTTGGGAAGTTTCATTGGTAAAAACATATGCAATTTTATTAAACACATTATTTCATCAAGACGCATTGTTCGTGTCATCAAAATGAGTGTATATTCAAAATCTGTAAGTTCCACGAGTTTATGTCGCAAACTATCATGATGTTGATCCATTCTTAATTGTATCTAAAAAAGTCTTAGAATAAGATATGCAAATAATAGCTGACTTTAAACAATGATCCATAGATTGCTATTGAACTTTTATATTCTTTTAGAAAAGCTTGTATATAATATAGAAACTGAACTGGAAAGTCAAGGACAGTGAAGAACTAAAACTATGAGTAAAAATAAAAATATATAAAAGATATGTCAATAAGTTCAAACGGGTAAAATAATCATAAATAACGTTTTTAATTTTTCTTCGCTCTAGTTGGTTGTATTCGTTTTTGATTCTGATTTTCACCATTATTATCATGTAATGGAGTTTTTCGTTTTGAGCGAGTCGATGATGACCAACCATGTGCTGTTTCACCTTGTGCATCATAAACTTCAGCTGCTGGTTCCACATGTTCTTGTGATTGATAGACCATTCTCACCTGTATATTGTTGCTTGACGATACTACATCACCTGTTAACGTTTCACCATGTTTTTCTATTTGTCTTGATTCATCATTTGGTCGAAAACGTGATACATCCCATCTCACATGCTCCTTGTAAAAAGAAGTTTCCTGAAATAATTGAATCAGCTCATCTGATAATAACCAATTGTTGTGAGTAAAAACATTTTTTTCTTGACTAGGGAAAAACTGTTTTAGATATTCGTCGTATGAGATACCAACCTACCGGTGGAAGAAAGAATATTATTTTATTTAAAGAAAAAGCTCTAATTACTTCCTTCTGCAATATTTGAATGAATTCAAACTTCAACGAAGTTAATTGTGATTGTGGACCAAGTCTGAATAATTGTTAAAAAAAGATATTTACATTGAGTATTTATCAACTGACAATTACTTTATCCATCCTTCTCGTAACAAGCGGTTTACAATCTTTTTTGAACTGGTTTTCACACGATTCGGCTCAATCCAATAATTATTTCCATGACGAAGAAGTTTTGCTGAGATCAGTCGTTGAAGAGCGTCCGATCGTATGTCGGATTTGTTACAAATTTGACTAAGATCGGTTTTTGAAAAAATCACTGATTTACTCATCATGATGTTAGTCATTGCCTTTTTGATCGCTAGTTCTTTTTTATCAGACACATCATCTACATGAATAAGAACGAATCAGATTAAAACTATCAGATATAACCAGCTATCACATTATTATGTAAATATTGCCATTATGTCCATTATACTAACTATTTTTATAATGAAAATAATCACGTAATAATGCAAAAGCTGACTACACGAATAGTAGAAAAACTTGAAATAGACCTTTGTTTGACATTTGTTGATCTGACGTAACGAAAGATTCCTCACTGGAAGTCGAATTTTCTACATTTTCTTTTCCATTTTCCTCCACATCGGATTGATCATCAAATATTTCAGAAGGTGAAATGGAACCAACCACTGATTTTTCTTGAACTTCAGGAAGATTTTCATCTAAACTTTATATAAACGAATAAATATAGAAGAATAAAAACAATTACTTGTCGTAGTATGAAATGGCTTTGGAACAACGGATGCTTCCTGTAAATTGAGTTCTGATATACTAGATTCTTTTTCTGTTGAAGTCGATGCGTTTTCAGCCACAGTGGTGATTGGTTGTGGTTTTTGTAGTAAGTTATTTGTTTTTCTTTTATTTGCACATGATTCTATCGAATTTTCCGAATAAAAGTCATATATTTTGATGATAAGAATTATTACCTTGAGTTATATTAATAATATTATTCCAATTGCTAGTAAAAGCGCTTTGGTTTAGAACAGTGAAAAGTCCTTCATCAGTTTCTTGAATATTTTGACAATCAACATGTTTTTGTATTATGTCTTGAAGTTGATTTCTATACTTGGAGTATTGATTCACAAACGATGCATTATTTTCAAATATTTGCTTTGTCAGCAAGGACAGCTTATTATTTGGTGGAATACATGATTTTTCATAAATTGAACAATAATCTTCAATGTTTATATTATGTTTAATAAGTTTCCTGAGAAAAGTTTCTTTCACTGGACCACAGTCATTTGGCACTGGTAACTTCAAGTAAGCTTTAACGCTTCTTCCACGAGCATCAATTAGAAAATTATTATATTTGATTAAATTATCGTCGAGAAGCTCCTGCAACGCACGTTCCCCAAGTCCAGGTCTATTTTTCAAGAACCCACTAAAAATTAATGATGTAAACGAGTTGATTACTCAAGAATATGATATTGTACTTACGTATGTCCAGTGATGGGATGTTTGTCAGATATAGATGATACTGGGAAAATATTAAAATCAAAAAGCATGATCATTTCTTTCAAATTCTTTCGATGAGGATTTGGCGGACTTGTTTTCAAATTTGTTGACGAAAAATCGGGATCGATTGTAAATAATGTACTGGCAATAGTCAAATACTGTTCATACCATTTCCAAGCCGCTAGGACAGCATTCTTTTCAACGAGAATCATTGGTTCAAGCAATACTGATTCACTTTCAACAGCAGGTACATACGATTTGTCAAACATATAATACTCTTTTCGTATCAAAGTGGTCACGGAACGTACGAAATCATCGTTGATGATCAAGTCACTATTATCTCCTTCGCAAAACAAGATCGAATCACGAACTTTTTTCAATATATTAATTGCATTAAAATAAATTTGAATAAGACACGCTAGTCGAGGAAGTGTTACTCCTGCTTTTTCATAAAAATCTTTTATCTGACGTTGTTCATCTTCGTTTTGATCAATCATTTCACGTAAATCAATAGCCAAGTTCCAGAGTGTATACATGGCGGACCGGTTTTCTTGTGTTTGAGATTGTTCATCAGTATTCATTGAATCAAATGTAGCTACAGGAAAGAAAGACTCTGATAATAAAAAAGTTTTCAAAACCAATATCATCATAAAATACCTCCACAAAACTTGATCCTTTCCGTCTCTGACATTTGAAAGACAAATCTCACAGATCCAAAAAGATGAACAATAACACCCAAATGAGCCAAAGAAGGATTGCGTTTTGCATTTGTACTGAATACAAAGCTAAACCAATAAAGGTCAACACATATGTATAAGTATACGTATATGAACATTGTCTTCTTAGTTCTTACTGTTGAGGTCGAGAAAAAACTATTCGAGGTATAGACATGTAAATAAATCGATTGTGTGACCCATCAAAAGCTGAGAAATTCATCCAGTTCTTTAAATTTTTTACTAATTTATTTCCGGTAGTAGCAATGGCGATTGATAAACGTCTATTATCTATATTAATGAGACTTGAACCAGTGGTTCGAGAAAAATTACGAAACCTAAGCAAAAAGAATTATATAATATTCTATAGATATATGCAATACCCATCATGACCGCAGAGAATGAGATTTCTTTCTTGCTCTTTAGTCGAATCATTAGCATTAAATAAACCGAAATGTTCAGCTATTATATCCGCATCATCATTCAATAAGATTTTATTGTTTGTTGACAAATGTAGACGCAATCCGAGATGGTTCGTGTGACTAACGATTGATGATTGATCATTATCTGCTTCCTTTCCACCGATTGGAACAGGTTTGAGATAGGTAGATGGAAACATTTTCTCTACTTTATAGAGTGCTTTTTCGAGTTGTTTGAAACAATTGGTTTTTCCACTTCCTTTCAAGATAGAAAACAAGATATTTCAATATATGTTTAATGTATATATACCACTGGATCCGAGCAACCAAAGATAAAGATGTACAGGTAGATGATCACGACTGGTATATGTTGTGTAAAAGGAGTTTTGAGCAAAATGTGACAAAAGTCCCAAAGATAAAAAAAAGGTTAAATACGGTTGGAAACTGTATGTTTCTTTATAAACATTCAGTAGCCACATTTGTTCTTCGTCAAAAATCTCACACATATCAACATTCATTTGTGCTGCTTTTTGCATATTCTTTAAAATCATTTCAGATAATATTCTATCTTCAGATAACAATGAACGTCGGGACATGATAACTTCAACTGCACTGCAGCAAACGGTCAATTATATCAAAAACCTAAAGTAGAAAAGTCCTAAATACGTCGGAAAATAAAAAAAGAAATAAAAAGACAAATAAATGAAATTCTATGATGCATATCAAAAACCTTATGTAAATCCGCCTGTGAATATATTCTTGATAGTGTTTTGAATCAAACTATATGTGATATTGATATACTCGAGATTTATATACGCCGAGGACAAAAGAAAACAAGGTGCTACATATTGATTTAAACTATTTATTTTCTTTGAAATGTTAACAGTTGGATAAAGATCACGAAATCGATCGTACATTCCGTGTCCTCGATTCGAACAATATGCCTTTGATATGTACATAACTAGGCATTAAATACATCGAAGTAAGATTAACATATGATCAAGTGCATAAAGAAAACAAATAACAGCTGATATCATATACATATATATGTAGAAAGAGAACGTGAGAGAGAAATGACGAAAGAGAACGAACAAAAGACATGTGTACTTGAACGAAAAATGCACTTAACTAACATATGATCACCAGTTCGATATATGTTGATCCTCTCACATCGAACACAAAAAGAACGACAGACGTCCTATGCGAAAACAACACTTAGCTAGTATGCACTGATGTACATTCTATTGTAAGCTAACAATCTTTCCAAATGCTTTACAACCATTTTCTATACATTTATTTCTTTCTCTGCACAACTATAATCTTTTCATTGTAAATCTTTCTCAAGGAAAAACCTTTTCATCCTGAGTATTATCTATTTCGATTCAACCGTCATTCGAGCATAACAAAAGCCAGGTTTCCGAGAAACTTCAATCGTTTTACTCAAAATCGCAGTATTGTCCACATACTCCGTCAACCGTTTACTCATACTAATATCATAATTACAAAAAACAGACAACTTCATCAACCATTTAAGTAGAATCCAACAAAAGAACTTTGTTTGTCAGTTTCTTTGCTTCCTTCAATATCATCAACGAACTCCGCAGCAATATTTTGACATCTATCAAAACTGAAAAACTACGAGTGCAACCAAATTATTACTTCTACTGTTGCTTTTGAAATTTCGAAGGTACATATGGAGATAGTGTTATGATCGGATCCTTCGATCAGATCATAATGGAAATTCCTTCAAAGGAATTATCCATGCTTTTCTCTGTTCTATACATATATATATATACAGTTTCTTTCGTTCTGCTCATGACCTAGATGTGTTGTTCTTTTGGTCTTTCCTAGTGATAGATAGGTCATGATGTCATTGAGTTAGGTATTTTTCCTCAGATCAGATCATAGGAAGATACCTATGAAGGCTTCTATATATACATCATGTGTTGATGCGGGTATGTGTGCAGTTTTTTGATAGAAACTATATATTGAATAAACCGTATCGATTGGGATATAACAACTGGTGCACTGGCCCAAGTTACTGACAATTCATTAACACAGTAACCGATTCGGACTCTTATATAAGCATTATCAATCGACATCACCAATTGAAACATGGCGCAAAATCAAGGAAATATCACTGAAAAGATAATGGAAGACAAGTTGAAAGAAGAATCATCATCATCGAATGATGATATGGATGTTCAGGTAAGTAAACAGCAATCGAATGATATCATGGGTATATTACAACAACTGCTAACAAAACAAGATCAATTACTTGACGAAAACACACAATTGAAGACGCAAGTGGCATTTCAACAAATCACCATTAACAATCTAACTCAAGTCGTCGAAGAATTGAAAATAAGTCCACCGCCCCATCACCAATCGACAGCGAATTTATCAGTTGATGTATCTGGAATAGGAACAGTGACTAGTTCAATGACAAAGACTCAGCATGAGAAACCTAATCTCCATCAACATGCTGCTAAGCAACTACAATCCAAACGGATTGATCAGCTTTTGAATTCCACTCCGTTCTCAGGAACAACGTCACAAGAAGTTTCCGACTGGCTTGAAGAATTCAATTTGAAATGTGATAAACTTGAGTTTGACGATACACAAAGGTTGTCGATTGCCATAGATCTTCTCAAAAGCAATGCGAAGCTATGGTATGATACGAACAAAGGAGCAATTGAAGATTGGACAACGTTTACAGATAAGTTAATGTCTCATTTCAAACTCGTAACCGGTACCGACCAATTTCAATTAGAACAAAAACTTTATAACAGACGACGACAACATTATGAATCTGCTACTGATTATTGTCATAGTGTACTCAAACTATGTTCAAAAGTGAACAAGGAGATGGGTGAAGCAAAAAGGATCAAACATCTTACTCAAGGACTTAATCCAAATGCTCAATTGCATATGGATTTAAAACATCCAAATACAACCGAAGAATTTCTCGAAGCGCTTCTCAAATTTGACAAATGGCAAATGGAAGAACAAAAGCAGCAACAGTACCATGCGACATTTGACCAGCAGCGACAGTACAATTGGACACAATCATCATATCAAACACATGATCTTTCCAAACCACAACAAAAGGATAGGGGTAACCCACCTTCCGATGATCAAAAACAACAACACAACAACGGAAAAGAGTATACTGGTTGCTGGTCATGTGGTGCTATGGATCATTATCAATACCAATGTTCAAAAAACTATTAGGGGAAATACGTGATGGTCGTATTTCCAGTCCACATCCTCATCCATCACTTATAATAATCCATACGATAATTAATGGCAAATCAACATACGCAATGGTTGATACAGGTGCGACAACATCACTGATTTCAAGATCGGAACTGGATACCATACCACACTCATCAATTGTCCCAACCGAAACAGTAGCAACACTTGGTGATGGCCGAACTCAAATATTGATTAATGGCGTAGTGGAATTAGCAATAACTATAAATAACATTACTACATGTATAAAAGCACTTATCGTCGAGTCGTTGGGTGCAAATATCATTCTTGGAATGGATTGGTGTAAATTGAACAATGCCAAGGTAGATATACATCAGAATCAAATAGAAATCAACCATCCCGAACAGGGTAATACAACAACGCCGTTTGTTACTAATGGATCCGTTGATGCTTGTCTTGCCGAAAGTGTAGCATTACTACCTTATCATGAACATGTCGTCCGAATGAGAGCTCCAATGTCTTCTGTTATGCTCGCTACATTTTTGCCTGATCTTCACAAATGTTCCCAGTTAAAACTTGAAATACCTGATGCTTTTGTTGAAATAAACGATTTTTCATTTTACATAGTCATTTTTAATCCCACCAAGAATGTTCATAGGTTAGATGCTACAGTCCAACTAGGTTCAATACATTATCAACCAAAGAATGAAATTATGTACAATATATTTGAATCGTCGAGCTCACCAAGTTGCACTATACAATCTGCAATAATTAACCAAATCAATACGATTAAACAGCCACCATCAACATCAGTCGTCGACAGTACATTACAGAAATTAGTGGCTCATATCGAAGATAAACAACACTATGATGACTTCTTAAGTATCCTTCAACAAAACAAACGATCGTTTGACACTTCGAAAATGACACGAGCAAAGACACAAATTCATCACACAATCAATACTGGTGATCATCCACCCATCAATGCTCGGCCATATTACAAAACGGTTCAACAACGAAAAGAAGTTCAACAGGAAGTTGAACAGCTGCTAAATCAAGGTATTCTTCGACCATCTCATTCACCGTGGTCTTCACCAATCTTGCTGAAAAAGAAACCAGATGGTTCATACCGGTTCTTGGTCGACTTTCGGCGACTGAATTCTATAACACGCAAAGATTCATATCCGCAGCCCTCTGCGGAGGAATTGCTTCATCGCCTTGCTGGTCATAGGATTTATACCAAACTTGACCTCAAGTCTGGATACTTCCAGATTCCAATTCATGAATCCGATATTCCGAAGACGGCTATTGTGACGCAAGATGGGTTATATGAATTTACAGTACTGGCACAAGGATTGATGAACGCACCACCCACATTTCAGCGGGTGATGAATGAGTTGTTAGCTAATGGCAGGTGGGATTTCGTTGTTGTATACCTGGACGATATAGTTATATTTTCCAAAGATATAAATGAACACAAACAACACCTTGCTGATGTTCTGTCGACTCTTCACCATGCTAATTTCCAAGTGTCGCCAGCAAAATGTTCAATTGCAGTTGAAAAAATTGAATTCTTAAGCCATATGGTTACTTGTCATAAGATTGAACCGTCGCCTGACAAGATCAAAGCGATCTTAGATATTGCACCCCCGAAAACGCTTTCCCAAGCCAATCGATTTATTGGTAAAGCAGGTTACTATAGGAAATTCATCCGTGATTTTGCTAAGATAGCCGCACCTATCCACAAAGTTACGAACAAGACCCGTACCAAACGTCATGAATTTATGTGGGGACCTGATCAACAAAAAGCCTTTGAACAACTGAAATCAATATTGACAACAGCACCGTTGTTTTTGGATTTTCCGGATCACTCTTTCCCCTTTATATTGTCTACTGATGCAAGCGATTATCGAATAGCTGGGATACTCAAGCAAAACCTGGATGGTCAAATGAAAATCTGCTATTATAAATCCAGATTATTGAACGATGTCGAGCGCCGATACTCAACAACAGAGCGAGAGGCATTAGCTATTTACTGGTGTTTAAATGAGCTAAGAAATTATATTGGTGATTCAGGAATCACCATTGAGACTGACCACAAACCGCTTGTTAATATGCATCGCAAGAAAGCCTTTGGGAACAAACGGATTGATAATTGGCTTATTCAGTTACAAGATATGATTCCACAAATCCTGGAGATAAAATATCAACGAGGTATTGATAATGTTGGACCAGATTACCTTACTAGGTATGATACAAATATTGATGACATAGCCACGCCGTCATGTTCTGTTATTACTCGATCAATGTCAAAACAAGCCACAACATCATCTAGACCGCCTGAAATGACACCCCAACCCATACTACAGCCAACAGTTACTGTTGAGTCTAAAGACCCACCCACACCGGTTAATTATCTTGATTTGAGTTTGGAAAGAATCCAAAGGGAACAAAGTTTCGATGCCAATATTCAAAAGATTCTCGCTCAGATGCATGAACCGCAAATGCATAACTTCGTATTGTGTAATAATCTATTACATCGTCTAATAGATCAGAAGAAAAGTGGTACAAGAAAGAAACTTCCGTACATCCCCACAACAATGATCCGGATGGTACTCGAAGCCTTTCATGATCATCCATTAAGTGGTCATTTTGGAGTGCAAAGAACATTACAAAAAATACGATCCCGATTTTGGTGGCCACAAATGCGGAAAACAATAGAGAATTATATTGCATCATGTCCCCAATGTACAAAATTCAACATCGTACGTGGCAAATCATTCGGCCACCTCAAATCATATGAGCCACCCAATGACGTCTTTCAGGTTGTGCACATGGATTTTTGGGGACCGGTGCGCCCATCTGCAAGTGGCAACCGATATGTAGTAGTATTAACAGACAATCTTTCAAAATATGTTATTGCAAAAGCTCTTCCGACTAACTCCGCGCATGATACTGCTAACTTCCTTCTCAAGAACTTTATTTTAGTTCACGGTGCTCCTCTGCAGCTGATAACCGACCAAGGTGTCCATTTTAATAATAAGTTAATGGCGAATCTCATGCATTCCACAGGAATCAAGCATGATTTTTCGGCCACTTACCACCCAGAAACCAACGGGCAAGTAGAGAGGTTTAATGCTACCTTTTGCACACAGTTAGCAAAATACTATGATGAGAACAAAAGCGACTGGGATGTATATCTTCAGTCAGTTGTCTATGCCTACAACACTGGCACTCACGCTACCACTGGTTTCACTCCATACGAACTTGCTTATGGTAGAAAACAACGAACTCCGTTTGATTTTGCCACACCACCTACTCTTCCTGATGAACCAGATCAATTCTATAATCGATTGCAGAAGACTCGGCAGCTTATCCTCCAACAAGCTCAACACAATACGCGACACCTGCACCGAAAAATCCAACATCGGTACAACAACCGTCGTAAAGATATTTGTTTCAATGTCAATGACCATGTATTTCTTAAAGTATGTGGAAATCGAACCAAATTGGATGAACGATGGATTGGGCCGTGCAAAATACTCGACAAAAACGGATCACAGAATTATTCAGTAGAAACTCCTGAAGGAAAAGTAACATCAGCTCATGTCAATCAACTACGTCCGATGGTGCATCGGAATATTAATTCTAATACTATGTTTTAAACGATACTGTTAGTGGAAGTGGCACCGACTAGTAGTACTTGATCACTTGCTATAATCCCTACGGTAACTTCACAAATCAATTTTGGCGTGGCACATACTGGTTTGGATTCAACAACGCAAGTTGTTAATAGTGGCATTAAACGTTTTATTACTTTCCTTGGTCGGATTATCGATTGATCTTTTACTCCTTCTTGCCCATTCTGATGTGCGGGACGCACATCTTTTCTGTGCGGGGGAGGTGTTATGATCGGATCCTTCGATCAGATCATAATGGAAATTCCTTCAAAGGAATTATCCATGCTTTTCTCTGTTCTATACATATATATATATACAGTTTCTTTCGTTCTGCTCATGACCTA